CAGGACCTCGCCCACCCAGTCCCCTCTCCATTGTCCCCAGCACTGGACAGATGAGTTCCTCAAGTGGGACCCAGATCGCTTCGACAACCTGACGCAGATCTCCCTCCCTGTGGAGAGCATCTGGGTGCCCGACATCCTCATCAATGAGTTGTGAGTGCAGCCAAGGTCTCGAGGGAGATGCACTGGGACTGGAACTCCTCACCCACCGTGGGCACGTACCCTCCCGTGCTTTGTATTCCTGGCACAGAGCTGGCAGCCTCCCCACATCGGGAGCTGCAGATGGGGATTGGCTCTGCAGCTGGGCCATTTCCAATGCTGGCTAACCACAACCATTGGTAATTACCCTCACTGTGCTGGGGGTGAGATCCAGATACCAGGAGAAAGGCTTTGTGCAGACAGTACAATGCCGGGGCAGCTGCAGAGCTGCTGGCCCTTCCCATGGAGCTGGGTGGTGTCGTTCCCACTCCGTGGGGATTTAAGGTGCTCCCAGTGCCTCCTGAGGGCTCTGGGACCTCTCGGGCTGGGAGAGGGCAGCAGTCTGGTGAGGTGATGTGAGGCAGAAATGCCTGCAAGGGTATGACCAAAAAAGCAGAAGAGGAGGCAAATCCCTGGCTCGTGGGCAGTTTCCCCCTGAAATGCCACTTGGCAGAAGGAAGCCCTGCCCAGAGTGCTCTCCAGCCCACATCTCTGTCCCTCGTGTCCCTCAGCGTGGATGTTGGAAAGTCCCCACACGTCCCCTACGTTTACGTCAGCCATCACGGGGAGGTGCAGAACCTCAAACCCATCCAGGTGATGACAGCCTGCAGCCTGGACATCTACAACTTCCCCTTCGACGTGCAGAACTGCTCTCTCACCTTCACCAGCTGGCTGCACCACAGTGAGTGCCGGGCCGCGGGCTCGGGTCCCGGGGAGCGTCGGGAGCTCCGGAGCTCCGTGCACAGGGCGGCTCGTCCCTCTAGATGGCCCCAGCGGATCGGGGAAGCGCGCAGGGCGGGCAGCCCGGTGCAGGGGCCGCAGCTGCCCGCGCTCTGGGCGGGTACCCCCAGTTCTCGCCTCTCCTCCGCCCCCCAGTTCGCGATATCAACCTCTCGCTGTGGCGGCAGCCGGAGCTCGTCAAGTTCGACCGGAGTGTCTTCATGAACCAGGGCGAGTGGGAGCTGCTCTACGTGCTCAGCCACTTCCGGGAGTTCAGTGTCAAGAGCAGTGACAGCTATGCTGAGATGAAGTTCTATGTAAGAGCCTTTGGCCACCGCGTTTCTCGGGGATGTGGCACGAGGGAAGGGACTTGCCTGTCCCTGTCTGCTCTGTGCTGCAGCTCCTGCCTGCAGGTGGGAGGCTCCTGCTAGTGAGCCCTTCCTCGGGCTCACCTTAGTGCCCCCCTCATCCTCATTCTCCTTGGCAAAGAGCCACAGCAGCTGAAGGCTCATTGCAACCCTTCACAGCCTTTTGTGTCTCTGTCCTGCAGGTAGTGATCCGGAGACGCCCCCTCTTCTACACCGTCAGCCTGCTGCTCCCCAGCATCTTCCTGATGGTTATGGATATTGTGGGCTTCTACCTACCTCCCCACAGTGGGGAGAGGGTCTCTTTCAAGATCACTCTCCTGCTGGGCTACTCGGTTTTCCTCATTATTGTATCCGACACATTGCCAGCCACTGCCGTCGGCACCCCATTGATAGGTAGGGTGCTTCTCCTGTCCACCTGCCACGGCAGTCGTGGGCAGAGACCACAGGGCCCTGAGACTTCAGCAGGGAGGATTGGCTCTGTGCACGAGCCTTTGCAGGTCACTCACCTCACTGGTGCCTCTGCAGGCATCTACTTTGTGGTGTGCATGGCACTGCTCGTCATCAGCCTGACAGAGACCATCCTGATTGTGTGCCTGGTACACAAGCAAGACCTGCAGCCCCACGTCCCCGAGTGGCTGAAACACCTGCTGCTGGAACGAGCCACCATCCTGCTCTGTATCCGGGACAGGAAGAAATTCAGCCAAAGCAGGATGCAAACCATGGACACGTCCAGGCGGGTGGAGAACAATGACAGCACAGGTAAGGGTGGCACAGAGAGGGCCTGTGGGAACTGAAGGAGTCTAGGTGCTCTGTGGCCATCTACACCTACATAGCCATTCTTTGTATGGTGAACTGGGTGCCTTGTTCACCCTCACAACCCCCAGTTCCCTGTCTAAACTGATTTTTCACATTTGCTTCTCTTGATCCCTCAGCCAAGCCGACCCCCTATGTCTGTGAGGACCCCCGGGAGTGCGGGGCAGTGGAGGGCACGAGGCCTGCTCTGGCCCTTGCTGGCCGGCCCGAGGGCTCAGCAGCACTGCAGGAGGTCCTGCGTGAGACCACGGCAATCCGCCAGCTCCTGGAGAAACGGGAGGAGTTCCGCGACCTCGCCCGGGACTGGCTGCAAGTGGGCTACGTGCTGGATGTGCTGCTGTTCCGGGTGTACCTGGCAGCCGTCCTGGCTTACAGCATCACTCTGGGCACCCTCTGGTCGGTGTGGAGGGATGCCTGAGCAGTGCCCGTTGCTCAGGGCGGGAGATGGGGGACCTCACTCTGGTGGGTTCTCCCTGGCTCTGGGACTCGCCAGTGCCTGTCGACCCAGGCGGGCGCATCCCTCACGTCCCTCAGCTCCGCAGCGGGAAGGCGGAGCTGAGCAGGAGCCCCCAGGACCCCAT